TCGCCAACCTGTCAAGACCCTGTCACTCACATTCCGTTCACTCTGCTAAGCTATATAGACGGAATTCACATAGCCGCAGTCACCGATAAGTAACCGACCACTGTACGAGCAATCCTTAAGTAGTATGGCATCTACTACGAATACTTAATTATTGGTATTTAAAAACTGAAGGCAACTAGATTTGAACGAAGAATAACACCACCTTCTGTCTGGTAGAACCAGTATTCTGGAATTCCCTCACAAATTATAAATTCCTGAATAATGTACTTTATTGCATCTGTTCTATCTACATTAACTTTGAGAATGACATCGTATAATTCGTCTGTTTTAAAGTACTGTAGCGTATTACCACCAAAATTCGTCAGAATCAGCCATCGCTAAGATTACAGGACTGAATATCATCAATATCACAAATCCGAAATACGGGTCAATATGCAAACACTGAAATCTCCTTTGAGCATCCAAAATCGATTATGTTGATATTTTCTTTCTTTTGACTTGTGCTATTTGTGTCTAGGCTGTAGTGCTAAACATGAAACTACCGACTACCACCATCACCATTCCACGAAAAAAGTTTAGAGGGTACCAATGTGGTAGCCACTATATTACTTACAGTTAAATGACTTTAACTGATTACACAACGCAAAAAAACATATGGAGCGAACAAGCACAGTATCAAAATCGACTAGAACATCGAGTAATTTTTTGTAGATTCCAGCCTCTTTCATGCCGCTCAATTCAACTGGTGTAAACTAAATAATAAGGGTAATCATACTCCTGAATCGAATAAAGTGTAGCTATATTCCTACGATGTTTAGACTAATACCGCAGTGAAGAGTCAATTTATACAGCTTTCCTTTGATAAGTTCACTGAACGCTTCTCTGCAGCAGAAGGGCTCAGTAAACAAAGCTTTTCCGTATCAATCACTGTCATCAGGGCAGCTACAGACTGATAGTGTGAAAGTGCTGCAAAAATCCTGGCCAGTCAAGTAACGGAATGAAGTTTTCAATAGGTAGTATTTCAGAATAATCTGTGAACTCGCATAAACATACCATACATACCTCAACATACAAAATGATGCCACCTGTTTATATCCTGGTTGGTGGTAAGAGCAGCTTCAAAACTTATACCCGCCAGGTAAAAGCCTATTATTACATATATCACAGGAGTCTCCCTACGGAAATACAGGACCCTAAAAGACCCTACTGGAAATCAGCTTTTCGTAAATAAATTTTGAGTGATATTGTAGAATTCTACGAAATTTTTAGTAGCCAGTGGGAGCGTTTTTGGATGGTGCTCATAAAACGCCAGAAGTAGACTCGCTGTAACCCAATATTGCTAGTACTTTTACTCCCTTTATAAAAATTTAGCTGAAAAAATGTACTGTAGTGCACTGAAATATAATGGGTGATTTTTTGCTAGTATCTTTTTGGCAACACTGTTTTTGACAGATGACGCGTGAATCGTGTCTTGTGTCATTGTCAGACTTGTTCAGTTTGGTCTATAATTTCACCATGAATCGACTTACGAACGAACAACGCTTGCAAATTATTGAATTTTACTATCCAATTTACTTCCAATTTATGGGCAATTTGGTCGGTCTACTGAGGGAGCTATTCGGAAGCTTGTGACTAAATTTCGAACCCAGTTTACTTTATTGGACATTAAACCACCAACACGCAGACGTAGAGTGAGGACTGAAGAAAATATTGCGGCTGTATCCGCCAGTGTTAGTGATGACCGTGAAATGTCGATTCGCCGCCGTTCGCAGCAATTGCGCCTCTGTTACTCCACTACGTGGAAAATTTTGCGACAGGATTTTGGTGTAAAACCTTATAAGATACAGCTGGTGCAAGAATTGAAGCCACACGATCTCCCACAACGTTTCCAATTTGGTGAATGGGCGCTGGCAAAGTTGGAGGAAGATCCACATTTTTATCGAAAAATTGTGTTCAGCGACGAAGCTCATTTCTGGTTGAACGGGTACGTTTAAAAGCAAAATTACCGCATCTGGAGTGAAGACCAGCCAGAAGCATTGCAAGAGCTACCAATGCATCCCGAAAAAATCACTGCTTGGTGTGGATTATGGGCCGGTGGCATCATCGGGTCCTACTTCTTCAAAGACGACAATGGCCGGAACGTAACTGTGAATGGCGAGCGCTACCGTGCGATGATAACAATCTTTTTTTGCCCAAAATGGCAGAGCTGGACTTGGCTGACATGTGGTTTCAACAAGATGGTGCCACATGCCACAGCGCACACGAAACAATGGCCCTACTGAGAGGCGAGCTCGGTGAACAGTTTATCTCACGTTTGGGGCCCGTCAATTGGCCGCCTAGATTGTGTGATTTAACGCCGTTGGACTATTTCTTGTGGGGCCATGTTGAGGCTACTATCTACAGGGATAAACCAGCAACGATTGAAGCACTGCAAGCCAATATTGAAGCATTTATTCGTGAGATACCAGCCGATATGTTGGAGAGAGTGTGCCAAAATTGGACCTTGCGCATGGGCCATCTAAAGCGGAGCCGCGGCCAACATTTACATGAAATAATCTTTAAACATTAAATTATATCGACCGTTCTATCGACTCAAATAAAGATTTAATCGTTTTTTCAAATTTTTTGTGTTTTTTTTTTGAAAATCAAATCCTATACCTCTTAAAAAATCACTCGTTATATCCTGGGCTGCATGTCGCTAATTACAAATATGTGAAACAATACTGTTTTTCTCAAAAAAGATCAATTTATCCATATAAATAAGAGCTCATATTTTTAGCTTGAAAGTTAGACAAAAATGTTATCGTTCGGCCATAATGATACAGGGTGTGGACATTTTCATCAATTCTGCGTTGGAGTAGAGTTAAAATGTTGTTGGTCTAAAGGTCCGTTGAAAAGTTGCTTGAGAAAAAACGACTTCCAGTAACATCTTTTGGGGGCCCTCATCATTGCATCATTTTTTCATATTCTGGTCTGGTATGTGTGCGAAAGATTGACATGCATTTCTCGAACTCCTTTTTTAAAGCTTCTCAGCAAGTTCCGCGCATACGCACAATGATTTTCGACATGGTCGATTTATGGACATTTTAAACACATTTCACCCTGTTACTTGATTTGCAGTACCATCTCTTGGACTATAAAGACTTTCACAGATAAAGAAGGGTTTTTTGGCTTGTTGCCGTTGCTAGTAAGGTACCGTCGGGTAATAAGGCCGGACAGGTAATAAGGCCATACAGTTAAAAATCTCATAGAAATAAATATATCATAAGCCTAGCGCCATCTGTACGTAGGATGACTTCAACTGATCCAAATAACATGTGGCTGAAGAGCGTCAGATACTCCGCTTGGAAACAGTGCGCCGTAAACAAAATTCGTTACATTTCAAGTGCTGTGCTATAAAATTTCTCGATAAAAGGTATGTGATATTTTCACTAGTACAATTGAAATCTGTCTATATTTTGGAACATATAGGTTTATCCTGATGTCGACAACACTTGTAATCTGTTCATTGAAATAATTTTTTATTTTTTAATGATATTTAACCTCAAAAATTATAAACGTGCAAGACAGGTAATAAGGCCCGGGCCTTATTTCCTGTCTAGACAGATGATAATAAGGTCACTGCTTTATTGCCTGTCACAATGACTTAAAAATAACCTACGTATCTAGAAATAAAGCACATCTTAAAATTATGTATGCTACATAAATAATATGTACATACATGAGTTTTTTTTTCTGACTTATGGTTTTCCTTATTTACAGACATGGGGAAAAAGAATCGCGGAATAAGGGCAAAATGGACAGACGCAATTATGGAGGAAGCACTGCGACTTGTGCGACTTGGTCATTCCCAAGCATCGGTAGCAATACGCTGTAATATTCCCCGTCGTACATTGAGAAACCATTTGAAAACTGGTTCAACCAAACGAGTCCTCGGTACAAAAACCCTTTTAACTGAACAACAAGAAAACGATTTGGTTGAAAAGATAATACGGTTTGCACAAAAAGGATTTCCACTAACCTCTAAAGTGCTTCGTCGTACCGTTTATAAATTTTGTGAACGACTTAATGTTAATCATAAATTCGATAAAGAGAATCAATTAGCAGGAAAAGAATGGTACCGAGCATTCTTGAAGCGACACCCAAATATTTCGCAGCGAAGGGCACAGCAATTAAATCCTGCTCGTGCACAGAAATTAAACCATTTTATTGTGGATGATTATTTTGAGAAGCTGAACAACCTTTTGGAGAGAACTGGCCTTAAATATATGCCTGGTAATATCTATAATATGGACGAGAAGGGCTGTAGACTCATGCTACACCATCAGCAGAGGGTTCTAGCAGAGAAGGGAGCTAAAAGAGTGCATTTGATAGGGTCAGAACATGGAGAAAATGTAACCATTGTGGCATGTGCAAATGCGCTCGGCAATGCGATACCTCCAATGATTTTATTTAAAGGGCAGAGAATAAAACCAACTTTTTCAGATGGACTTCCAGCAGGGTCAGTTGTGCATATGACTCAAAAAGGAAGCATGACTACGGAGATATTCCTTAAATGGTTGGATCATTTTGCACAATTCAGGTCGCCCCCTCCAACAATTTCAATTTTCGATGGAGCATCAAGTCACCTCGATGTGACTATCGCTGAAAAGGCAGAATCATTGCAGATTGAGCTTTTATGTTTACCTAGTAATACTACCCACGAGCTCCAGCCAATGGACAAATCCGTCTTCCGGTCGTTTGAAGCCCACTGGGATCAGGAGCTTGTAGATTACTGGGATCAACATCCTGACAGAAGATTAAACAAAGAAAGGTTCTCAGATGTCTTTACTCCTGTTTGGGGTAAGTGTATGACCATCAGCAACATCTGTAGTGGGTTTAGAGCAACCGGGATTTACCCTTTTAACAAAAATGCGATACCGGAGTGTGCATTTGCTCCCAGTCTTCCTACGCAGCGCCACAATGTCGAAAACAATGCGCCCAATTTGTCTGATGTTGAGATCAGTAATCCGCCTAGTTTGGAAGACCACTGGGACTCAGAAGATGAAATTCCATTAGCTCAGTTGATCGAAAAAGAAGCACAATGTCTAAATAACTCATTCGCTAAAGAGCTCATTACTCCCGATATGCAGCCAGTTAAAACCAAACCACGAAAAAAAGCCCTGAATTATCGAGCTCAGGAAGTAAAAAGGGATGTTTTTAAAGATCCCAGTTCTAAAAAAATTAAAACCAGTGAATCAAGGAAATCGACTGAATTGCCGACCACTAGCAGAGCTGCTAGAGAAGAAGACTGGATGTGCTCCGTTTGTGATAAGGCCTTTGTAGCTGACATGCGATCCTGTGTATTATGTGGAATATGGGTGCATGAGGAATGCGTCGGCCTTACTGCAAATGACACCGAGGAATTTATTTGTCCGCAATGCCAGCCATAATTTTTTTTAAGTACCTTGTTTACTCTTAGTCTCTCTTTTTTATGTTTTTAAAAGTAACTGTTTTTTGCTTTTTTTGTGCGTTAATTAACAAATGCTAAGTTGGGCCTTATAACCTGCCTAGGTTGGTAATAAGGCCAAAATGCATTTTTTTGTCATTCTAGTGTCTAAGTGGTATCATATGTTTTTTAAGATTCTGTTCATTAATATTTTTGTAAAACAAATACCTTAGTTACCTTTTTTATATACGCAAAGTCGAAAATGTGTATGTGTTATTAAATAAAAAAGTAAGAATGTTAACCTGGCCTTATTACCCGACGGTACCTTATACAGTATAATGAGTCATTCAGATTTTTCTGTATCTACCCTGGCTTTAAACATAACAAAATATCAGAGGTTTTCTTTTGGAATGTCGGGCTGAATAAAAATTAGCACCAACAATTATATCCAATACCTTTAAAAAAATAAAATAAAATATGCTTGAAATATACGTTCCAGCTCAAATCTAACTATTCTCGCTGTATTTCCAGCTTATGAAGCGTTTTGTCATCAAATAGAGACTGGCCTGGCTAAACAAATAATACAAATGAATTATCTCTCATTGTATATCATAAAGCCTGCCTACCGCTGATATATTGCGCTTCGATGAAAATGTATTTTCACGCTATGAATAATGCCGTTCAGCGCTAAGGCCCCGATTATATCCCGAATAGGCAGAAGGTGACAAGTGACAGGACACTGGGGATGGGTGACAATGCGTTCATAGTTTTCACGGTGTCAGCTGCAAGTTGCAGACCGAAAAGAGAGTAAATTACTGTATTTATAAGAATGTCGTTTAGATTTTTATATAAGAAAAAATGGCATCAAGTAGATTGACTCTAATACCTCTTATGCCTCAGGTACAAATTTCCATGTACTTCAATGGCCTCAAAAATACGTAGATTTTGTCAGAACTATTACTGCACTATTTGAGTATTCAGTATCTCAAAAAGGTGACACTTTTATATAGGTAAGTTTTTGTTATTTGAGAGGTCAGTCCAAAGCCTACCTTCTCCTTAAGTTTGTCGTGGTACTTATTGGACACCATGTATAGTATACCAGCATGTATCCTTTACCATATAATATTACCTCACGAAATCAAGTAACCTCCTTGAATTACACTCCAAGCACAACGGTCATATATATAATATATGTATAATATATAGAAAGTGTGGCGCCCTCTTCGCATATCGCCGAGCCGCCTGCTACCTGCTATTATAAGTCATCCAACCGATACGTGAACCGTCTGCTGAAAGTATCTTTCTAGGCTTTAAGAAAATCTAAAGTTGTGAAATATGTCTAATAGGTGCGTAGAATTACCGGGGTTGGAAGTGTATCAATACACTGACATTCAAAATATTTAGATATACCATCTCCCACCACCCTACAACCTCCATCCTCAAATTTCTAGCCGCTGCTGCAAATTTTTCTATTTTCTTTTTTTTCGTCCTTCATTGCGAATTACTTTCCAAGTTGGACGAGCCAATAATTAGCGGGCAGAGAGACAAACAGACCGATGGAAATAAGTAACTTGGGGTTTCGTAATGTGTATGTGTGTCATATAACATCCAAAATCATAACATTTCATTTTTGAAATTTTTAGGGATTACAATACTTCCTCGCCAGTGACGTAGGAAGCAAAGTGGAGTATAGTGTTTACTCTGTAAATATATGTCGCAAGCAATATAGCAAATTTTATCCGTACAGAGACCTCATCAGAAACCATCCTGAAAGTTATCGAACGTATGTGCATATTATTCGATTTTATTCTGACAAAGATATAAAACAAACTTCACCAAATGGGTACCTTTTATTTTTGGTTTATTCGTGCTTTTCGAATTATGATTCTCTTGAAATATGAAAGATAAAATAGTTAGGTTGGTTTCGGCATATGGTATGGTGTCAATTTCAAACTGGTACTGTGGATGATAGACTCCAAATAATTTTACAAATTTCTGTAACATGAACTCTTTATATTTGCAACATACTTTTTCAGTTTTATATGCATATATCAAAACTGACAGTCTCTATAAGGAATATAATATGGGCCGCTGAATCTGAGAGAACTGCTTTGTTTTAGTTTCACTAAAATCCTTGCCGTATCAGAATGGTCTCACCACATTAGATAGTAATATCTGCAATCTATATGAATTTTCAACAATTATTTCAAGGTTCTTCTGTTGTGCAACATTTTACCATTACTAGATAATATATTACCCAGTCATCATACTGAGCTTAAATCAGATTAATTAACAACACTGACACGGTACTGCCCCTTCATCAGCCTGTGATTTGGTAGAATGTTGGACTGGAGGTCTAGTTTAACCGCTAGGCAGAAAATATCAAGGCATCGGTCCAATTTACACTCCCTCGGGCAACACATTTTTGTGCAGATCAGAATCCTAAAACAATCTGCCACAATAAAGGTACACCCCCACTGAGGGAAAGAGAAGCAAAAAGAACAGAAGAGAAAATTGCCCGCTGGGTTCGATAACACACTAAAAAGAGTTTCGCTTCGCTTCTCTTCGCCTCGTTTCACCTCAAAAGGCGGGATCGCGCACGAGAGCAGCGAGTTATGTTTGACGCATGCAAATGGAAAATGTCACCGTGGTTCCCTTCGCGTCGTTTTGCCGCAGTAATAAAAAAATATATTTCTGCTTTTTAATTTACCTCAACATTTCTAAAAATATACACGTATAACAAAAATCAGTTGAGGAGAGAATAAACAAATTTGCCAAACTCGACTGGACTGTACTAAATAATTTATCTTTCTGAGGTGTGCTCCAAATGCTACTTTAAAAATCAATTTATCTGTCACACCCAAAATTAAGGGAATCTTTCGCGCAATTAAGAATTCTAAAAGGTTATAATTTTTTAAAACATGGTTCCGTTACAGTAATCATTAATGTTTGAAGCCGCGTTATAAGTTCTTGTAATTTCCTACTATATGTACAATCGAGAAGGCATTGAAATGTCTGCATTCAAAAGTGTATTTAGGAGTGCAATTCCGAAATCATCCCGAATCTTTGTCCCATTTGTACAGATTTTTCACTTCTTGTGATTTTTTAATAAATCACCTAGGTATAGGGATTTGAGAATGGATAATGAAAAAACTATTTACTAAATGCGTGAGAATTAGATTGACTTTAATAGTTTAAGCGTAATCTATACACCGCACCCATAAAAATATGTCACAATGAAATAATAAAGGTTTCCGTTTTGAACTGTTCTTAAAACTGTGAAACGTCAAAATCTATCACGGACTGGAACGTTGAAAACGGAGATTTTTCAACTTTTTCGTTTGCCCGTTGGTCCGCAGTTAATCAATTTTTGAAAGATATTCAAAACTCGGACCTCGGTAAGAGGTAGGGTTATGGGGTAAAGTTGTGCATTTAGGTAACTATGAAAGTGGCACTTAGAAAGTTTTGTAATTCGGATTATTTTCAGAATGTCAGAATTAAAAAGAATTTTCCCGAAATCGTATTTTCTCCTGACTCTTTTTGAAATGGGATTTCATCAATTCTGACAGAGATAATAATAATAATAGTAATAAAGCATATATTGCCCAACAGTATACACCATTTACAGAGCAATGGGTAATAAATTCAATTAATATACTAAATTTACCTAAAACTAACTTTAGCGAAACTACAAATTGGCACGACACTGGGTTCTTATTTCTGAAAAACTGCAACACCACTGAGCAACACAAATTAAAAGTTAGGCGAAATGGGTGGGTACATTTAAGGATCATAAAATTCAGAAAAATACATGTGTACATATAAAAACAGTAAAGTCATCATTTACAAAAGCATCGCAGAACACTAAAATGGTACGTACTCCTGATATCCAAATATTGCCAGAATATATAACTTAAAATTTATAAATATTCTTCCCGTAGCGATGTGTCACTGATGACACCACCACAGACCAGTTGGAATCTGTTACCGATTGCACAGTCGGCAGTGGCCTCCACGACGACGCAGCATCGCTCCGTGCACGCATTGCCAAGATATTTATGAGCACATTATACATCGGACTTTTATCATTTAATTTTCCAGTTGTTACAGGGATCAGAAACTTCTGAGTGATAAAAACGTCTGACTAATACTACATTTACAACCTCCTACCCCTTTCAACCCTCAACCGATCGACGCGAAGTGATCTCCAACATTCTAGATATCGCTTTGTGGTTTTCTCGCAGTGGTAATTGAACTATATATAACTCGGCGGCCGGGAGATGGGGCAGAGAGTACGGATTACGGTGGAGTAGCAGAGCGAGAAGTATAGTGCAGTCAATGGTGACATAAGAATTAGTCAGACATAAATAGTGGGGCATATAAATGTTTCATCGTCGTTACAATAACATAAATGAATAAAGAGTACTTTCCGTCATTCTTTTTTTGCTGCTGCTAGTTTACCGCACGTTAGCTTTGTTATTTTAAATGTAGTTATTTCTGAAAGCAATAGTCCCAGCTTCCTGGATACCATATATTTACCGTGTGGTATTCTAATAAATGCTACAACTATCAGAATTTTTTACGACGTTTTTTCCTTTTTGTAGTTCATCGAATATCCGCATGATTTTTTATTCCGTGATCATCAAATGTCGATTTACAATCAAATGTCCCATTACAGCATTCGTAAATATCACAAATCGACGCAATGTCAAATATGAAATAGTTCTCCAGTTAAGCTGACTAGGGATAAGGGGTAGGAAGACAGCGTTAACTGCGTTATCACTTTATTTGCCAACATAGAGGCCTCCTTGCTGATTTACAACTTGTAGCGAACAATTCGGGAAATAAAAATATCGTTGATAAATAAAAAAGTTCGTACGTCTGTAGGGCTGAATGAATAGATACGTGCTCCTTCTGTCGAAGCTCATGCCCATCTCCCCGCTCATCTCATCAAATGCCATCTTCAAGAGATTTTTTTAATTTGCTGTCCGTGTAATACCCTCATTCTTTCCTAAAGCAATAACGTAGATATCGATTTGATATGAGCCTCTTAAACATCCTATTGATACTCCGCGAGTGCTCTCAAAACGTCACCGTCGTCCTGGACGTTTCTTTCCTTCAGAGCTGCATATAGTCGTATGTCTGTTTTTATCGTGCAACAGTCGTCTGGTTGAACACAGTTCATAACTAAACAAGCTCGGGTTTTTGAATCGAACAGCGACGGTGTCAAGCAGTGTTTACAAACATGTAACAGGGCAGTACTTGAAAATATGAATAGCGAGTATTTTTCTTCAATTTCTTACTGACCTTTTCGCTGCTATTTTGCCGTACATTAGCTTTGTTATTTCAAACGTAGTTATTCCTTAAAATGAAAATCCCAACTTTCAGGATATCCTGTATGAGTATATTCTTATGAATGAGATCATTATCGGTATTTTATACGATATTTTTTCATAGTTCATCGAATGATATCTGCATGACTTTTTATTACGTGATCATCAAATGTCGATTTACAATCAAATGTCACATTACAGCATTCATAGTTATCATAATTCGACATATTGAAATTGGTACGATCCAGAGATTTTTTCAATTTGCCCCCAGAAGCGATAAGCTCAGGCTGTTTCCCAAAAGTGCGGTTGTCTAAGTATTCCTTTCTTGCAAATGTACACCTGAACTTAGCGGCAGTATGTTTCATCATATGGCTAACTAAATACCACTTATATGTAGTTTTATATTCACAATGTGTACATTTATGTATCTTACGAGATACAGAAGTAGTAAACTCAGGATGTGTCCGCAAAATGTGATCGTCTAATGATAGTGTAGTTGTGAATGACGCATTACACTTTGTACACTTGAGCTTAGCTCCAGTATGTTTCATCATATGGCTAACTAAATACCTCTTATATATAGTTTTATATTCACAATGGGTACATCTATGTATCTTACTAGATACAGAAGTAGTAAACTCAGGATGTTTCCGCAAAATGTGCTCGTCTAATGATAGTGTAGTTGTAAATGACGCATTACACTTTGTACACTTGTGCTTAGCTTCAGTATGTTTCATCATATGGCTAACTAAATACCACTTATATGTAGTTTTATATTCACAATGTGTACATTTATGTATCTTACGAGATACAGAAGTAGTAAATTCAGGATGTTTCCGCAAAATGTGATCGTCTAATGCTAGTGTAGTTGTAAATGACGCATTACACTTTGTACACTCGAGCTTAGCTCCAGTATGTTTCATCGTATGGCTAACTAAATACCCCTTATTTGTAGTTTTATATTCACAATGTGTACATTTATGTAATTTACGAGATACAGAAGTAGTAAACTCAGGATGTTTCCGCCAAATGTGATTGTCTAATGGTCGTATGGTTGTAAATGACGCATCACACTTTGTACACTTGAGCTTAGATCCAGTATGTTTCATCATATGACTAGCTAAGCAGTGTGGAAATGTAGTTTTATATTCACAATGTGTACATTTATGTATTTTACAGGACACGGATGACTCAAATTTAGGATGTTTCTGTAAGACGTGGTTTTCTAAGCATCGTTTAGTACTGAATGAAGCATCACAGTTATTACATTTGAAAGTCGTTTGAGTATCATGTCTTGCCAGGTGCCTTATAAAACTTCTCCTAGCTATTTGTTTATGTGGACAATGCATACATTCATATATCTTACTAGAAACTGTCCCGCTAAAGTTGGGATGTCTCTTTAAAATATGGCCAAAAAGCGATCGTTCTGTTTTAAATGATGTATTACAATGTCTGCATATGCGTAGTTTAGTAGTATGCTTTAGCACATGCCTGGTTATATCCCCTTTATAAGCGGTTTTAAAATCACAGAATGCGCATTCATGTATTTTAGATGAAACTGACGCCATAGATCCTACATGCTTTTTAACCAAATGATTATCTAGTGATGTTTTGCTTTTGAACACCTTATTACATTTGATGCAACGATACAGATACTGTTTTCTGGATACAGATCGTGATTTTCCCAAATTAGATCGTAAATAGCAATTGTTCCTTTTGATATGACCGATCAAACCCTTTTTACAATGGCTCGTATAGTTACAAATATAGCAGCTGAACGACTGTTTTCCTTCTTCGATCGGTGGATTTCGTTGTTCCTTTTCCCGCTTTATCTTTATTTGGACGCTGAAAAAAAAAGTTTCATTATAATTCACGTTTTTTAATTGATAAAGAGAATCGATTCAGTTATAGCGAGACAGTGCCTGAAGTTTGCATTAAACGCTAATTCTATAAATAATATTAGTTTAAACAGGTTTTGAAGGATATACAGGGTGTTTTCAAAGTTGAGCTATTTATTTTAAGAGCTTGTAGAACTCGTCAAAAGAAGTTGATGTACCAAAAATCCCCTATATAAAAGTTGCGTAATAGAGTTATACTAAAATTCAGCCCAAGTGAGACCACAACATCGCAAACTCGAAGCGTGATCAGCGCGTGATCGATGTTCCCGCAGAGGGTCTCATTATAGTTCAGGCATTTTACGGTTTGAAGTTGTAGTTTGAAGCGCTCGCTTTTTCAACTAATAGTTTCATTTCGTAGCTTTTATTTTTCTTTTTTTAAACTTTCCGCTCCTCATATTGATGCTTTTGTTAAATACAATATCCTGAAGTGTCTCCAATATAAAACTCCATGAATTTGGAAAACAAGCAGCCTCGAACATTTTTTAAGACCTAGTTAGACCGTAGCAATACAAAACCCGCCGTTGCGCCGCGTTGCATCGCTGTTATAAGTTCTGTTATATCTGGTGTTTTTTGACCATGTCTTCTACCGACACAGCTGATGAAGGGAGAGCTACATTGAGTCCACCCAGGAAACGATCAAGAGCATCGAAGTGAAAGAAATTATTTTAAATGTTTACAAATGTGAAACGGAGGAAAAACCTGAGCTCGGCGTCAAAGATGTTGTGCAGAGGGTGGCGAATAAATTTGGAGTTTCTCGTGCATCGGTATTTAGAGTACTCAAAGAATATAAATTACGGAATGCATTTGCTGAACCTAAAACGAATCAGAACCGTAAAAGCCAAATTAAAGAAATAGATGATGCTGACAGACATGCGATCAGAAGGAAGGTTCATGAATTCTTTTTCCAGAATGAAATTCCTACAATTGATAAGATTTTGAAAGTAGTGAATGAAAACTCAGATTTGCCGAATTTTAGTAAAACGACGTTCTACAGGCTATTAAAGGAACTCAACTTCAATTGGCAGAAGAGAGGCCGAAACAGTTCATTGATGGATAGAGATGAAATTATACTATGGAGGAGAGAGTATTTGACAAAAATAAAAGCATACAGGAGCCAAAACAGTAGAATTTACTTCCTGGACGAGACGTGGATAAATGCTGGCCATACAAAATCAAAAGTTTAGGTGGACCAAACAGTAACGTCAGCAAGAAGAGCGTTTTTAGATGGGCTTTCAACTGGGCTTAAAAACCCTACACGTAATGCAGACATTCCATTTTAGAAAATCCAACAATAGTTATTAGATAATTTTTCATAGCCAAAGTGATTTAAATGAGGCATTACACGTTATCAGATATCTAGAAAAAACGAGGGGATGTTCACTCGGGAAATCAATGTATTCTACGTTGGAATTCTTATGGTATCGATGACAAGATTTTTTACAGCAATGCGAGCGTTGCAGAGACAACATACCTCGTCCGTCACGGAATGTAACACGTTAATTAACAACGTCAGACATTGCGTTGATTTGTAAATTTTTCGATAAGTTTGTCACACTTAATTTTTTAGTTTAATTGATGTTGCCTGTTTCTTTTTGTTTTTTAAGCTTTTAACCAGATTCATCAACAGATTAAATGATGCATTGGTTGAAGTGTCCGATATATCTCACCGCATGCATCCCGCTATCATGAGAAACAATATAGCATCGTATATAAAATACAGAAATGTGTCCCTATCTCCGTGGCCTCAGTACTCTTGTGAAAGACATATAATATACATCCGTATTTAACAAGTTTTATCTTTATAGGCAAAGGAAAAAGGCTCATTATTTGCCACATCGGGAGTGTAGATGGCTTCGTGAAGGAAGGACTATGGTGTTTTGAATAAAAAAAAATCACTGACTACCACGAGGAGATGAATGGTGAAGCATTCGAAAACTGGTTTTAGGCATTTTACCACGTCTTAAAGACAATTCTGTGGTGGTCCTGGATAATGCTCCGTATCACTCTCGGAAATTAGAAAAAATTCCAAATTCATCTTTAACACATTGGCTGCCATGTGAAACACCGGTGATACACAGGCGCGTTTTGCTTGGAGGCCACGTGACTCACATGTGTTTCACATGCAGTATACTTCAAAATTAGATATATATCCGCTTGGCCTGTGAATTAAGTTTAACTACTTATACTGTGGCATACTGATAATATAAACAACTCATTGAGATACATAACATCACTGGTCGCCTACCTTTGTAGCGTAAATTTACGACTGCACTTTTACTATATTCAGGTTGGTTCTTGTACAGATTTTGCGGTTTATGGGTTATGTTTAATGTTGTGAGAACCTGCAAACTAAGAGGGGTGTTTTAGAAATATAAATTTTAGTAAATCGTGTGTGTGTGTTATAAAGTGGTGTTATAAATATGAGTGATGAACCTTCTACAAGTTCTGGACGACCCAAACGATCTTGTACTGGCAATAGCCAAAATAAAAAGCAAATTTTAACACAAAAGGAACTGCAGGAAATCGCAGATAATTGGGACGACTGGGAAGATTTTTCATCTTCAGGATCAGGTATGTAGTAAAAATACATGTTTGTTGTTGAAATTTTATCTGGGGATGGTTCTCTTTTACAGGCGTATAAATTAACACCTTTTTCATTTATTTATTTATAGAGTATCTGAATTCGGAATCTGATGATGGTAGCAATAGCGCAGGCAGTAGTCTTCCAAGCAGTCATAGTTTAGATTGCGATTTAGATGAAGTAGACACTGAAGAGAGCCACAATGTAAATACTCTACTACAAGATAATGAGGATTGGCATGATGTTGATGGGACATCCTTGCGTTCTGACATTATTTTTTCTGGTGCAGAGCAATACATGTATCATCACGGCATTTACCCTGGTATTAATATATTTTTTTGTCTATTTTTGTTTGGTAAAAATATAAAATATTTTTTCAGATGATTCTAATGATCTACGTCCAACTGATGTTTATGAACGTTTTATTGATGACGAGATTCTTGAAATTATCGTTTCAGAAACAAATAGAAACGGCACACAGCTTTTACAAAAGCCAAATATAAGGCGTTCAGCTAGAATAAGACGATGGGTCCCTACAAATAAAAAAGAAATTAAAAAGTTTTTAGGCATAGTCATGTATATGGGCATAGTCAAATATCCTAAAATTCCGGACTATTGGCGAAAAAATAGGCTGTACAATAATACGTTTGTTCCATCAGTGATGAGCAGAAATCATTTCCAACTTCTGCTAAGAGTACTTCATTTTGCGAATAATGATGCCGTAGATAAAGACAACCGACTTATAAAGTGGAAGATATTATCAAAAAATTTCAGACCAAATGTTCCAACGAGGCAATTCCAGGGGAAACATTAGCTGTAGATGAGACTATGGTGCCCTTTCGTGGACGCCTAATTTTCCGGCAGTATATACCTAGTAAACGTCATCGATATGGTATAAAACTATTCAAATTGTGCGATCCAAAGGCTATACCTACCGATTGTCAGTCTACACCGGCAAAAAATTCGAAGATACAGGTAAAGGAAAAGGACTGGCAGAAAAAGTTGTAATGGACCTTGTTCATGACTACTTGGGAGAAGGAAGGACACTAATAACAGACAATTATTATACTTCATTACCTTTAGCGAAATCATTGTTGGCATCCAAGACTCATCTTCTAGGCACACTTAGAAAAAATCGAAAAGGTCTCTCTAAAGAAGTTATGAGTGCACAGCTAAAAAGAGGGGAAATTGTGGGGAAGGAAAACACTACAGGACTCGTTATAGGTAAATGGAAAGACAAAAGGGTGTGTTCCGTTCTTGAGTACTAAGCACACGCTGGATATAAAGGCTACTGGGAAGAAAAACAGAAAGGGCGAGGAGGTAAAGAAACCTTCTGCCATATTAGAATACAACGCTGGTAAAGATGGTATAGATGTTTCTGATCAAATGGCGAGCTACTTTTCCCCACTCCGCAAAACAATTAGATGGTATCATAAGCTAATGTTTGAAATTCTCCTGAATACGGCTGTCATCAATTCTCTTAATATTTACAAGCACTTCAAAAAACAAAACATACAAGTTGGTGCTTTTAGAGAGATGTTGATTGAGAGCCTTACCCAAGTCCCAAGTGTCCCAGTAAATGAAGATAAACATAGTCTGATCAGTACAGAAGAAAGAACAGCAGACGGGAGAAAGAAAAGGAAGAGATGCATTTCATGTTATGAGAAAAAGGCCAGAGAAGGAGGTCGAGTTGTGGGAATGAAACAAGCTAAATTGGTCTCTACCAAGTGCGGGCAATGCAATATTCATCTATGTTTTACTTGTTTCACTGAAAAACATTAGTTTTATTTCCTGTTTCTTCTGTGATCACCGGTGATACAGATGGCACTGGAGAAATACCGATTAACCTAGATGCCATGTGTATCACCGGTGATTTTAATTTTTTTGCAGAAAAAAACATTTTTTTTGAGTTGTTTATATGTTTTTTATGTCAATAAAGTTTTCGTAACCATGCTTTTGTGATAATTTAGGTTTGGCCTCTAATAAATGAAAATGACCCCTTATGGGGGCAGCCAAAGTGTTAAGAAATCAGAGATACAGGACTGGCTACGTGCAAAAAATATACCTTTTGATACGTTTATGTTGAAATTACAACTTCTAGATCTTGTGAAACAACACAGAGCAAAATATGATAAATATATAGTGGACGAGATGGCAAAAGCGCACAATAAAATGGTACTTCGTTTGCCTCCTTACCACTGTGAGCTCAACCATTCAAAAATAAAATCTTGGTGTCCACGAATTAAATCACAAGCATTTTCAAAGTGCACTGTTGAAGTTCTTCCAGAGTATTTACTGCTCCATCATGATACACCAACTCTTTCAAATAGCCCCACAGAAAAAAATTGCAAGGCGTTAAATCCGGGGAGTGAGCAGGCCGAAAAATGGGCCGATTGCGCCCTATCCATCTATTCGGAAACTCATTATTTAGATGTTCATGAGCATCTCGTCTAAAATGTCGTGAGGCGAAATCATGTAGGAACCACATAATATTCTCTCTCATATATAAAAGAACACTTAAGAATTGTGGCAAATTGTGTGGAAGAAGATCTAAACAAATTTCTAAAAGCCACTGGCACTCTTCCAGGCTGATCTTCAGGTTGTAACGCTTTTACCCGCTGATAGTGATAAGGATAACACTGTTCTTGTCCTAATGCCTTCCACACTTTGCTATGAGAAATTTCAACTTAAGCTGCTATGGCTCTAGGACTCATTGTTGGGTCGTCTTCGATAATTTCTAAAAGGTCTTTCTCAATTCGTAACATTTCAGGTTGAGCTGGTTTCCCAGCGTGACCTCCTCGTTTTTCTTTTAAATATCCTGTGTCACGAAGTCTAATAACTGAATTTACAAACATCAGTGGGGCGGGATGATTCTTAAAGGATACCTTTCCGCATACGACCTGCATACTGCGGCTGCATTTTGTTGGTACTTATTTTTTCGAACAAAATAAGCAGACAAATAAAAGTATATGTACTATTAAAAGACTGATACAACAGATCGAACCAAAGACTCGTACTCGTACAGATAGTTTTCATGATTGTCGTTTTATATTCACATGGAATCAGGCAACCACAAAAAAGTTTTCAAGAGCAACTTGCCAGAGAGCTGCCCAAAAACTTGAATTTAAAACTTACAAGGTAGGGTTACATTATTTTTTTATTATTTGTTTTTAATACAGTATTTCTTGGCAAAAGAGAAGCCCTTATTGATAAAGATTCAGAAGAAAAACAGACTAGCGTGGGCCTAAGAATACAAATTATGGTCTCCAAACCGATGGAACTCCATTTTTTAGATGTAGTGACTAAGCCAGAAATTTGCATTTTGTGGAAGGTATTATGAATACTGAAAAGTGCATTAATGTGCTTCAAAATAAGTTAATACCTCAAATTGGACAAATGCGTTCAAACAATATTGAATGTATCATCAAACAAGATGGTACCGCTTATCATACGGCTAAAAAAGTAAAAGATTGGATGTTAGAAAAAAACAATATTTTATTATTAAAATAGACGTCGAGTAGACCAGATGTATCGGCAATTGAAACCTTGTGGCATATCATGATGAAAAGGCTCTGATCCCGCAAGAACCGTTCTAGAATTGCGAACCCGTCTCCAACACATTTGGAACAGTTTTACCCCAGTTAACTGCCAAACATTAGTGGACACTGTCAAGACGTATCGAAGCAGTAATTAGTCCAAAAGGCGCTGTAACGCAAGTGATGATTTGCCTCCTATTTGGTTTTGTTGATTTTTATTAATCGGCAGTATTTTTAATTTGTAAGATATTGTTCTTTGTTAAAAAATATAGTATTTTAGGCTAACATTAAATAAAAATATCGTATGTTATCAGAAATACATTTTAGTATTTAATACGTATGTATATATATATATATATAATAATAATAATAATAATTTTTATTGGAATGTTTATACATAAAAATATAAAAACGACAACATTCCAAAAGGAAAGAGGATTGGCAGGGCCATTTTTCACCTCCCCCTAAAAAGTTAACGTCATGAGCGTTTTTTAACATCAACAGAATGATTAGTATTCACAAAAAATATTATGTACAACACAGTATATAATACGATATAGTCTGAGTGTTAATGGAGGGTAGTGTAGCAAGCGCCATAAATTTAATTTGTGGATTCAAATCTTTGCAACTGTAGTAGCACTTTTTCCATCTCATTTCTGAAGTTTTGGATGGAAGGTGCTTCAAAAAGTTCTAAATGATCGTTTAGTAGATATGGTGGCGTGTAAGTAAAACATTTTTTGAATTTAGATGTTGTATGAACTGGAATATTGAAGTATTCATTGTTGCGTAAGGAAACTTTACGGAGTGAACATCTCTTCTCCAAAGCAATAAACAGATATCTGGGTAATTTATATTTTAAAACTTTATATAGTAGAGTTCCATACTGAAGTAATACACGATACTTGAATTTTAAAAGATTTTCTCTCACATAATATCCAGTAATATGTTCTTGTATATGTATATCTTTGAAACAGAATCTCATGCAGCAGTTTTGTAATACTTGAATTTTGTGCTTATTTCTTCCGTCAAAAAATTATAATATACTGTAGCGCCATAGTCTAGGTGAGTGAGGATTAGTGCATTGGTAAGCCTTAATTTTATATCGCTGGTTAAAACATGTTTGTATCTCCAAAGTGACTTGTATTTACAATATCATAATCGAAGTTTATTAATGACATGGTTCTCAAAACTTAAATTTGTGTCCAACAAAATGCCTAAATTCTTAGTCTCCTCTACAATTTCAACAGATGTATCACCTAAAACAATGGCTGTACTCATCAATCCTTTAAATTTTGAAATATTTAACCTAGAACCAATGCAGCAAGCTTTAGTTTTTGTGGGATTCAGTTTCAAACAATAAGTTTTGGAATAGTTTGCAATCAGTTCTAGATTTACATTTAACTCTTTAATCAATAAATTAACTTCATTTGGCTTGCAAGCTTTATACATTTGTACATCATCAGCATATAGATGTATATTCCAATCATGTGATATAAAATTTAATAAATCAGAAGTATAGAATGTAAATAGTAATGGACCTAATACACTTCCTTGCGGAACACCAGAAACTACATTTTGTAAAGTGGAAATTTTGTTAAATATCTTTGTGCATTGGGATCTGCCAGTCAGGTAGTTGTTGAACCACAGTGAGGCATTACTGGACAAACCATAATATTGTAGCTTTTTACATAATACTTCATGGTTGACCATGTCAAATGCCTTACTGTAATCTAACATCACCAATACGGTCACCATACCATCATCCATGAACTTGACTATATCGTTAGTTACTTTTATAAGCGCTGTGGATGTGTTATATAGTTTTCTGAATCCCGACTGTGTATCGGGAAGGACTTCATTTACTTCTAGATGGTCACGAAGTTGGTCAGCTACCACTTTCTCTGCAAGCTTGGACATCACAGGTAAGGTGCTTACTGGTCTCAAATCCTTCATCTGTATAGCGTTATTGACTTTTGCTAGTGGCGTTACAACTGATTTCTTCCATAATGTTGGTACTTCTCCTGTGTTCAGGGATTGATTTATGATATTCGTTATTTCACTTTTGCAAAAAGAAAATACATTTTTCAGCATGCTTGTGGTAATACCATCTATACCAGCAGCATTTGATTTCACTTCTCTCAGTTTCTTTTCAATATCATCAGATGTAACTAGATGGAACGAACTTTTAGTTACGAGTGACTTTTTCTGCCCAGATAAAGCGTTTAAGAAATAACTCATCAGGTTGAATGGTTGGCAACGAGTTCACAAAGTGATTGTTGATGGCTTCTGCGTCTTCAATGCCCTGAGATATCTGATTAGTGGATTTTTATGAATATTCCATTTAGCGAAGTCTTTCCATAGTTGCTTGGGATTATTCCTGTTCTTATTTAGTTGATATTTTATATAAGCTGTTTTTTCATTCCTTAAAGCCACACCTGAGTAATTTCTAAGATCGTTATAAAACAATCGATCTGTTTCAGATCTAGTTCTTTTAAATTTATTGTAAGCTTTTCGTTTAAATTTATTATACATTTCATTGTATAGGTGATGTATGGCCTGTAGAACTTATGAGGTGTAATTCTTTTCATCAGAGCATGTATGTCATACAGCAAGGTAATGTTCTCAGTAAGATGGAGGACTTTATCATCAGACTTGTAGATTATTTATATCATGCCAGTTCACAGCAGTTGCATCCTTAGCAAATTCATCATAATTAAAGTGGGAAAAGTCACGACAATAAAATGTTGTAGGAGTGTATTCTGGAATTTCAATCTTCAATTCACAGAAGCATAACCTGTGATCAGTTATATATCCCATGCCTATAGTGCCACTCTTGCGCACATGCAATGTATTTGATACAAAAATTACATCAATCATTGTAGCTGAATTCTTGGTTATTCTTGTGGGTTCATTAATAATCTGAACGAGATTGAATAATGCCATGGTTTGAAAAAATTGTTTACTAGGATTGGAAGACTTATCGGTGAGGTCAATATTCACATCGCCCATCAGTATAACTTCATCATGGGTAATGAATATAGAAGCAAGGTTATTCTCAAGGCTAGAAAGTAGGACTTAATGCAATAGATGGCGGTCTATAGATAACACCTATCGCAATGGTCTTATTATTTAGTTTTAGCGATAACCACATTTGTTCAATGCCATTTGAAGAAATGTGTTACAATTTACGACTTTAAATTTTATGTTGGTCTGGATGTAAAAACATACTCCACCTCCTCTTTCTTCTCTGTCATTTCTAATCAGCTGGTAATTTGGCAGGGTATTAAATCCGAAGGAAAATCATGTGTAAGCCAAGTCTCTGTTAGTGCTATAATATGAAGGCTCTGCTCTAGTATAACGTCTGAAAAACATATCAAAGCTAGGAATAAGTGATCGAATATTCACATGTGCTACGTTTAGCGTACTACAATTTTTCGTGACGCCTTCACTGTGAGCAATGATTGGACTCTTCGATGAATTTTCTGACTTGTCCTTTGATTGCTATATAGAGTAATTTATGTTGCTTCTTGCTGTTTCAAGCTTCTTCCTCATTACTGTGCAATTTACTTTGTCAAAAGCAGAATGATCAATCTTTAAATTTAACTTAAATTTATTATTAAGCTCAAGCAATTTGGCAAGATATATTTGATTTCGTGCATATATCTGCTTTATGTCCTCTCTCACCGCATTTTAAACAGAACAATCTGTCCGGTACATTTATTAGCAGTGTGGTTGAAGCCGCTGCAATTGTAGCATCTTAACAAATTAATGTGTCATATACTGAGCATATCGTTAAATTAATACATAATATTCCGTTTTCCATGATACTATGAATGTTTTGGGGTCACATTCTATAATGGAAAATATCGTGTTTTCATTTGCTTTGTTTTAACTACATTTATATATGCATCCCTGTCAATAAACATGTTCTCTTGTTTTATAATGTTACAAGTTCTGTATTTTCAAACATCTGTTCTATACCTACTATCTTAATCTTAGGTTTTTTGTTGATTACTTACGATGTTCACACTGTACGAGCTGCTCAGTTGTTTATTGATTACCTCATTTATTTTCTGAAACACCACCTTCATCTGCACACGAAATTTTAATGTTCCATTTTCGGATTGTTTTACACCTGTAAGTTTCACATTCAACCAGCAGGTTTTAAAACTTTAGAATATCTTTTTTTGTTTGCATGACTTGTTGTACTTCTTTTGGTTTTATAATAATGCTGTTAGAACTTGTATTTCCCTTTTTCACCACTGAACTATATGACGGTTTCAAAGCTTCTATTCTGTTGATACAAGTATCTTGATCAGCGTTTTCTTCTATCTTACCATTGGTTCTGCAAACTGATTGTTGCAATTTTTTCATACAGTAAGGACATTTTTTCGTATAGCTCCTTTATTATTATGTCTTTTGCCAGAATTATTTCATCTTTGGATAGGATGATTTGTTCTTTTGCTTTTATTATGTCATTTAATAATACCTCCTCCTTATTACTGTACATTGTATTGCTTTTCCATCTTTTTCCTTTTCTTCCTCTCCTCTGAATGATGTTGATTTTTATTTTTCTTTCTTACACCTTGACTCATATCAAATGCGGGTACTGTTTTTTCTTCTATAATGTTCTTTTTCTTGCCTTCAGCCTACTGCTTTGTTCTTAGCGCCCTGCGGATACTGACTCGTGCGACTTTTACAATTTCTGACACAAATGTCACAGAATATATGGGGTCAAAATGGTTAAAAACCACTCTGCGGCTCCAGAGTACACCACCAACAGTTCCACGGACGCGATTCTTTCCGATATCGAAGTGAATGCTACTGCTTTAAATTATCTTCAAGTCTTGTGTGAGATATTCAGGTATTTATAGCGATCTAAATGACTGATGTGATCTATACTATCTATATTTGATTAATTATATAACTTGAGACGTGGTCATTGTCTAAATTATTAATTTTTAATCTGTTTTTAACTTGTTCTTGTCATATTTTATATAATTTGACCATTGTACCATCTATCCAGCTCTCACCATGTTACTGGACGTTTCCCTCATCCTATACGTAAACAACAATTAGCAACATCCTCACATACTACTCTCCTGATGATGATGGCAAAGTCCATTGAAAGCTAGAGAGAATTAAAAAAGTATAAAGAGCCCTCTTTGCTTAAATTTTGTCGAAGTACCCAACAAAAGGCGGAAGCTTTAATTTTTCACCTATATATATATATATACAGGGTGACTTTGAAGTTGAGTCATTAATTTTCAGATAATGATTGTAGAAGGAATATAAACCAAAATATGTGTGTAAAAATAAAAAAAAATTAAAAAAAATTTTTACCTTTTTTATAAAGTATCCTCCCGACAAGTATTTCAGTGCGGACCTGTATTTGATCGTGAGGTCCCCTGTGAGGTCTTAAGTCACCTGATTCACGAGCCCGTTGTACTACATTAACAAAGGCACGAGGGGTTGGTTGCACTCGATTGGGAAACCGATCCGCATAAACATGTGCCATTTTTTATTTCGTTTGAGCCACGCAACAGATAAAACTATTCACTGACACTTACTGTATACAAATGAATGAAATAATTCGTTCCAAATTCTTTCGCTTTTTTGTTTCCGATGCGATGAACCGATACGACGGATTATATCCGTTGTCGCCAAACACGAGCACATTGAGACAGGGCGGTACTCAAACTTCCAAAGGGCTATAGCTTTGTTACTTTAATTTTACCAGAAAAATGGTAAAGGAAAAAAACATTTCTTTTGATCAGATCTACTCACTGTTAAAATAAATGACTCAACTTCGAAGTCACCCTGTATATATATATATATATATGTGTTATATGCACTCACAACAATGGACTTACTATTCCATACAATGTTGCACCAGACGCTAGCTCAGCAACAGATAACGACTTCTCGCTAACCCGTTGTTTATGCTTTGTTTTCTAGAAGTGCTTTGTAAGCACACCAATAGTATAAATAGGCCTTCCGCCCATTTCATGTTGTTCATTACCCGGCTAGGCACCGTAACAGTCACTTATGTAAACTTATGTTCATACCCGGTTAGACTCCCTCAAGTCAAGTAATTGTAAACGTTTGTAGCGGACAGAAGTTACTGTGCTCAAATAAATTTTTTAAAAAGTAAAGTTGAATTTAAATGATATAACTATATATATATATATATATATATCACAAAGTATAGATAAATACTAAGTATCGTGCACAACAAACAAAGTAACTAAACAAGTTTGCTTGTGCTTGGGTTTGTTACAACTAAAAGTACAACAACTGACTGAACACTGTAATTATGGTATAATTTGGTGAAGTGAATTATGGGGATTAACACCAATAAATTATACATATCATAAAAATACGTCTAACCTAAGCATCTGCGACAGACAAAGTAAACAATCAAAAAATCTGAAAATTCATCATACTTCAGTAGCGTGTATACCTACATTAAAGAAGTTTTTGACAATCGGAGTCTCCAAACCTACGAAATTTTATTACACACCTCGTATATTACAAATTCATTCATCATTTTTGGACATCCAGTAGAGTTGGGGATTGAAGGAGACTCACCTATCGGACCCCGAATCATGCCTGTCATCTTGGTCACTCTCAGTTTTGATGTCAAATTCGTGATGTAGCCCTAACGCGTCCATATTTTCAAGATTTGTGCTCCTTAAATCTGGTTTTTCTTCCAGCTTTTCAGATTCTTGGAACTCCATTTTCATCTGGTTAACTGTATCTGCTCTCGAATCAGCTTCAAGTCCAGACTCTAATTTCTCTTCAACTTTAATTCTAAAATGGTAATAAAAAGGACATTTTAATACAGGGCAGTCAATTTACAAGACGATTCAGAAAGGTTCCCATTCCCAGCTATTTTTTGAATAGGGTGACGAATTTCATGCATGAATAGTATATTATAGCTTTTTTTAACTATATTTATCCTGAGCATAGGTTAGCATTATTTGGAAAGGGCCTCTCAACAATTACAATCAATGACTTTTTCAAGACAGATTTGAATCATATGCTTCAGAGCAACATCTTCTCATTACTTTTGTTTGGTTGACGCTATTTGTATCACAAGTGGTTTCAGCAGCAGTTGTATAGCATTGCTATTTGCAAATAAAGATTACGGTTATTGTTAATATTGTTGGGGTGGCTGTGGAACATTTCAAATGACGGTAGGGCCCCACCTTGGAGTATTCTTTCAGAGCATTAATGCCATGTCATGTTTTATGCCTCATTTTGAAGCTCCTTATGGTGGGAGCCTCGGTAGCTCGTTGGTTTATGTGTCGAGGTAGCAATCCGGCATGGGTATAACGCGTCTTGAAAAGTGACCATTATGTCGTTTCTTTGACATTACATACAGGGTGTCCCGCGAGGTAAAGGACAAAATTTTTCTGCGGGTTCCTCAGGTCAATTCGAGTAGAAAAAGTCGTATGAACATGGGTCTCCAAATGCTTCCTTATCGAGATACGATTTTTTATTTTTTGGGTGGGTGAAAATCACAATATTCTTGGAAAATTGCTTTTATTTAACAAAAAATTTATACTGTTCATATGAAAACAACTGTTTACAGTAATTAAAGTCAACATTCACTATGTACTGCCCGATTAATAGATTAGTGTTTGTTTGTTTGTTGACGGAGTGGTTGTGTCAGTTTGATTGAACTTTGCAAAAAGTATTTAAATAACACTTTTCCTGGGCATTGGATCGGACGAGGGGG